AGGCCTGAGGCCCTGCTTCCACCCACTGCCTTACCGGGCCACCTGATCCAAAGCTGGTCCTTGTGTTTCTCCTAGGGGCCAAGGGTCTGCAGCTCCTCCAGCCCACAGCCCTGCTTGGAACTAACACTAGCTGCTACCCGTCTCCTGGGGTGTCTCACCAGGTCCAAGACTGAACCCATACTCTCCGCACCCCTCCAAACAGCAAAATCTAAATCCGGCCTTTCTGGGCAGGCCAGGAAGCAGGGAGTCACCTTCTGTACCCTTGTCCCCTCACCCCCATGTCCCATCCACAAGTCTGTTGGTGGTTTTCCTTTGAACCATATCTTGGATCTGTCTACTTTCTCTCCATCTGGACTGTGCACCTGCCTAGTCCAGGCTGCCACCAGCCCCTCCCTGGGCTTCTGCTTCCACTCTTATTTCCTGCAGACCATCCCTTCGTCTTTGCCAGAGCCAGCTTTTGAACTGCTCAACCGATCGCATCAGCCTCTTGCTTACAATCCTTCGGTGGTGGCTCTCTGCCCTGGTCCCGGTTAGGTGGGCTTTATCCCCCCAGGTCCCGGCAGCCTGACCCCCGCCGAGCTTCCCGGTCTCATCTCACAACGCCCTCCCCCTTCCCTGCTCTCCAGCCGTGTGGCCCTAAGCTGTGTGGTTTCCTTCCTGCCACGGGGCCTTTGCAGATGCTGCTGCTTCTGTCTGGAATGCTCTGCTCTTCAATCCGCACCACTCCCCCCAACTGCTACTTAGAATTGGGATCTCAGCTCCCAGGTTCCTTCCTCAGGGAGCCCCTTCCTGCTCTCTCATCTAGGTTTGCTCTTCCATTCGTGCTCCTACAGCACCGAGTGCCTCTCCTTTGCACTTTCCGTGGCTGTAAGTTTCTGTATTACGTGTTAACGTCTGCCTGTTCTTGTGAGATTCTAAACTCAGGGTGGGATCCTGCTGCTTGTGCACATTCTTCTGTCCCTTCCTCTCATTAGTCCAATGTGCCCTCGCCGCTGGGGACCCGCGCGTCACTGCCACACCACCTCCTCCTCCTGCGCCGGCTGGATCTCTGCTCAGGGCCCAGCAGGCAACGGTAGTAGGTGCTGTGATTTTGTTTTTGATCCTCTGCGTCAGAAGGTGGGCAGTTGGCTGTCAGAATGGGGAAGGTGGTTTGTGTTCCTTGAGCCTCTTTGAATGGCCGGTCTCCTCCAGCGGGAGGCCTGGCTCCATTGCTGTTTGTGGTGCTAAGCCTCAGGAGGGGGCCAGCGAGTCTGGTGGGCTCACCTCCCTGGCCTGTGCTGTGTGTGTCTCACCTTCTTTGCTCTTTGGCCTCCCCTCCCCACCAGAGAAATGCTGTTACGTCTTCTCAGGAGGGTCATAATCTCGATATTATTGCTGGACTTTTTAAAGGAGGAAAACCACACAGATGAAGTGAGAAGTCAGTCTAACCCTCCCCCAGCCCCCCACCCCGGGCCCTCCCCCTCTTCTGCCCGCTCTGCCCGGGTCTCCGTCTGACCCTGTCCCCATTGCTCCCGGAGCCACTCTTGGTTCTGTCACCGACAACTTCTGTGTTGCCAAATCCAGGGCCCACTTTCCTCTGCCCCTTGTTCGCTGTCTCCACAGCGTCTGACACAGGACACGCTGTCGCCTGTCCTGACAGCAGGCGTCTTCGCCTCCCACACTACCGGCTGCCCCGGTTCCCCTCCTGCTGCCCCGGCTACATGAGGGTGTGTTAGGTTGCCGTGTAAAATGGGTTTCTTGCTGTAGGCACAGTCGGTTGGAAACATTGCTGTAGGTGCTGGGCATCCTCAGGCTCTGTGCTGCTTTCCCCTCTTCGGCCAGTTCGTTAGCTTTAACGCTGTCCGTACGCCGACGACTCTGTATCTGGCCCAGACCCCGCGGCAGCCCCAGCAGCTTCTCCGGGCTGATTCGCTCCTCTTCTTCCTCGGTTCCTCTGCTCCGCACATCGGCCCCTCCCAGGCCTTGCTTTGCCCCAGTCAGGGTCACCGTATCTGCTTGGGGGTGGCCACCCGTCACGCTCCGTCAGGATACCCTCAGCTCCTTCTCTGCGCTGCCCTGGTCTGCCGATGGCCCTGCTCGGTTCCGGCCGTTTCTGTCCCTGGAACGCAGGCTCTGTCCGGGCAGCAGCCACGTGTATCTTATTGTTTCCCTGGGGCTTAGCACACGCCGGGTACAGAGTACATGTCCAAGTTATATTTGGGAGGTGAATATATGAATGAGTATTTCTGAAGCCATCGTGATTCGTTTCGAGTTGAGGTATTGAGCTGCTCTCCTGAGAAAGCAGGACCAGCCGTGGGTGGATGGTGGGGGCCGAGCCCGGGTGCTGCAGGCGGTGGACCGGGTCGCGCCGTTGTGCCTGTCCTTCACTGAGCTCGCTTTCCTTGAGGCTTTGGAGACCTGAGGATACCTGCTGTCCTTCGTAACCTACCCATCTTTCTTGCTTGTGACTTGGCATTTTCTTTCATTTTCTTCCTCTCCAAATTCTTCCCTCCACACACCACCCCCGCTTCTCCCTACTGTGAATAAATATTGAACTGCAGTATCACAGAAGAACAAAGGTGTTTCTTGTTCACAGTGTGCAGAGCAGTGCTGAAGAGAATTGGAAAGTTCTTTAAGTCTCTTTCCATCTTCTCTCCACCATCCTGGCACCGGGTGGGCCCTGCTCTGGAGGATCCTGGACAGTGTGGCTTCGGCCCCAGTACCAGTGATGGTGCCACATGTGAAGTCAGCTCCCAGCAGGCTTTGCACTGCATGGGCACCACGCACACTTCCTGAAGTCATACTGTGGGTTAAATCTGTGTCTAGAACTAGACATTTCAGACGTAAAGGGCTATTTCGGATTGGCTGCACGTGTGTGTCTTACATATGCCAACCCCAGTGCCCTCCAGCTTAGTCACTCTACACAGAAAAAGGTTGAAAAACCAAATTTTAATCCCAGCAAAATTCTGGCTCCGTAGGACAGAGGAGATTCCGATCCTGCTCTTTGGAAACAGTTGGGGAGTGGGTTGGAGTTTTGAGGTGGGAGACTGTACAGAGGGCAAGGGGCTGCCAAGAGCCACTGCCCGCAGGCGGCCTGGTCTGGACCGAGCCCAGCACCTCCTTGTCCACAATGCCAGCCTCCGATCGCTTGGGCGGGCGGCAGCAGAGGGTTCGCTTCCCGTGGGGTGTCTCTGAGGCTGGAGTTGAGGTAAATGGGGCCAGCACTGACCATACCTCCTGCCTAGGTTTGCTGTGAGGTCAGGTGAGTGAGTGAAAACATTTTGCCAGCTCAATAGAGCTGTTAGGAATTCGTTCTCATTCTCTAAGCGTTTAAGAAATAAAACCGGTCTGGTCAAAGTCCTCCTAAAATCCATTAACTAGATAGGTCAGTGCTGTGTCTGGATTGTCGTTGTCTTAGTCTGCTCGGGCTGCCAGAAAAAGCCACCTGGGTTTATTCTTCATAGTTCTGGAGGCTGGAGGTCCAAGGGCAGGGTGCCAACACGGCCAGGTTCTGGTGACGGCCCCTTCCTGGCTTGTAGATGCTGTCTTCTGCCTGTGTCCTCACGTGGCGGAGAGGGAGGCAGAGACTGAGAGAGAGGGAGAGAGGGCAGGTTCTCTGGGGACTCCTCTTATAGGGATACTGACCCCGTCAGGGCCTCCACCCTCATGGCTTCACCTAAATCCATCACCTCCCAAAGGCCCCATCTCCAAATAGCATCGCACTGGCGGTGAGGGCTTCAACCTCTTAATTTTGGGAGGACACAGTCCAGTTCGTAGCAGTCATGTACAGAACTGTAAATTAGTGAATAGAGATTGGGCCTCACAAGGTGATGATGGTTAGATCATAATTGTGGAGATTATACAAGATGGTGGATGGATTACCAACAAACCCATTCTCCCCAATATGTAAAAGTGACTGAATTACTTTTTACTTTAATGTGGCCCCATGTCCTTTGGAAGTAGCTTTTCTTTTTTCCTTTTTGTTTTCTTCTCGCCAACTTAAGAATCATGTCCCTGCCTGATGAGTTTGTCCTGCTAAGTCTCTCTATCCATTTTGGTAAAATGAGTGTATTTTAAAGAGCTCTGTTTTATTGAGCAATGTTTCTCTGAGATCCTGTCCCACGGCCCCTTTCTGAACAAGGGGTGACCTAGAATCACCTGAGAGTGTTTGCAGACCACACCTGGTGCCCCTCCCGACACATCGACCTAGAAGCTCCATCTGTAGAAGCTCCTTAAGACGCTTGGGTACAGGCTCCTTCCCGCCCTTCACCCCAGCCGATGGAACTCTTAAGCTGTAATTTCCTGCTTAAGGGAAGAGGACTAAGGAGTGGATTTGAATTGAGACCAAAAGGTGGATTTTGAAGGCAGAATGGCTCTAGATCCCACTTCGTTATTAGGAGTAACTAAAGGCGGAACGTAGGAGCGTCAAAGAGGTGTAGACAAGAAGACAAACATTAAACGACAGAGGAGACTGGCGATAAGAGCAGAAAACAGAAACCTTGAGCGCCCTGTGCTAGGGTGCACTTTGGCATGGGCCCCGCACCCCGTGGGGGACCCCGCAGGCCAGTTTCATGGGCAGAGGGCCTTTTGAACCATTTTCTTTCCCTGGGCACTCTCAACCAAAAAGCAGATTGACCGTCACCAGAATGGATGGAATTGTTGTGACCTTTGATGAGATGCCAAGGGTGAAACTCATATGAGTCTTAAAATAAACAGAAGCAATAAAATATTGATACTGTTCTATTTTTGGAACCAGCGACCTAAATTCAACTTGAATTTTAAATCTCATCAATATAGTGTGATGTTTGCCAGCATGGATCCTGAAGTTTACAGATCTGTTTCTTCGTATTTAAAGTGGGGACAGTGGTAATAAAAACAACAATTGGTAAAAATAATAATGATGATGATGCTCAATCAGGGTTGCTGTGGGAGTGGGTGAAATGGCTCATGTGAAAGAACTGCTGATGCCTGGCACGTGGTCCACACTCACTAACCGGCTGGTGTGTTGCCATCTGTTTCAGGGCGCCGAGGCCATGGTTCTGGAGAGCGTTATGTTTGCCATCCTCGCAGAGAGGTCGCTGGGGCCAAAGCTCTTTGGCATCTTCCCCCAAGGCCGCCTGGAGCAGTTTATCCCGGTAAGATGTGCGGAAGGCTGGTCAGGTGATGGGAGCCACAGCGAGAAGACGGAGTCTGTCTCGTCACCGTCAGTGCAGGAGCCTGAGGCGCTGTGGTCCAAAATAGTAAATGTGGCCTATGTTATCACAGAAGTAAAGAAAAACAAAGTTTCTCTTGAATTTACATCAAAACCTCTGTCTTTCCTGCAAAGATACGTTCATCCATTCAGAAACATGCAGGCAGACCTTGTTTAACTGAGCTTTGCAGATGCTGGGTTTTTACAAATAGAAGGTCTGTGGTGGCCCTGCATTGTCAGACAATGGTTAGCATTTCTGAGCAATAAGATATTTTGTAATTAAGGTATGTACATTGTTTTTTGAGACATAATGTTATTGCCACTTAATAGACTGAAGTATAGTGTAAACATTACTTTTGGACACGCAGGGAAACCAAAAAATTCACGTGACTCGCTTTGTTGCAGTCGCTTTACTGTGCTGGTCTGGGACCGGACCCCCAGAATCTCTGAGGAGGCCTGTTTCTGAAACCTAACAACTTCCGGGCCTTGGTTATAGAACTCGCTGCAGGACGGGGCCCTGCCCGCACTGTGCCACGTGTCTGGTCTTTGCCCTGCGGGCGCCACCACTCTTCTTTCCCTTGTCTCCCACTGCCCGCCCCCACTCACTTTAGGGTCTTCCCTGCCCTCATGTGCCTGTCAAGTTTCTTCACATTTCAAGGCCTTGCTCAGATCCTCTGTTTGCAGGAATCAGGACTGGTTTCCCTTCCCTGCTGTGCTGAGGCATTGTTAGTGTTGCCCTGGCATCCACCAGTGTGCCTCGTTTAGAGTTCTGTGTGCATAGCCCCTGCCCTGTGCCCCATGCCCCGTGCCCTGAGCCCCGAGCCCCAAAGAGGGCTTTGAGCCTCAAGAGTTCCCTATAAAGTTGAGTGTGGGGCAACTCTGGGCCTGGTGACCGGCTCGTTTGGGTGGAGATGCCAAGCCTTGCTGGCCTGTGTTTCTGCCCGTTGAAGGGCTCCTCTTCTTGAGCTGTGTGAGCTCCCTAAGCACTAGGGGCTGCTGCCTTCATGTCTTGCCTCATGTGATGTCTTGGCCACGAGAGGCCTCGTTGTGCAGGGCCTCCCGGTACAGTCGTGCAGGCAGTGCAGAGCACAAGGACACCTGGACGACAGGGTGCTCTGCTTGCCAGGCCTGCATCCAGCGGGGGCCGGAGGGGGCGGGGTGCCCTCCTCTCTTTCACACATGGTGCTGTGTGTGCCAGCTGCCAGCTGCCAGGGGTGTGTTTGAAGGAATGGATGTACCTCCCTATATGGAAGAGTCCTTTCAGTCTCTTCCCTGGCACCTGGCTGTAGGTTTTTTTGTTGTTGTTGTTTTAATATAAACTTATTTATTTATTTTTGGCTGCGTTGTCTCTTTGTTGCTGTGCACGGGCTTTCTCTAGTCACAGTGAGCAGGGGCTACTCTTCGTAGCGGTGCGTGGGCTTCTCATTGCGGTGGCTTCTCTTCTTGCGGAGCATGGGCTCTAGGCGCATGGGCTTCAGTAGTTGTGGTACACGGGCTCAGCAGTTGTGGCTCACGGGCTCGAGAGTGCAGACTCAGTAGTGTGGCGCACAGGCTTAGTTGCTCCGCGGCATGTGGGATCTTCCCGGACCAGGGCTCCAACCCGTGTCTCCTGCATTGGCAGGCGGATTCTTAACCACTGCACCACCAGGGAAATCCCTGTAGTTTATTTATGGTTTTATTTATAGTTTTCCCATTAAAGACAGTAACATCTGTCTAGCATGAGAATCAAATGAGATAGCAAAGTATTAGAAAAAATTTTGGAAATACAAAACACTTCGTATGTTTATAAGTGCCAACGTGGATCCATCTTAAAAAACATAACGTTGATAAAACCAAATTGCAGAAGGCTACAAATGGTATCATAGCATTCGTATAAAGCCCAGTAAAAAGCAAGATACAAATTGTTTAATAAATACACAAGTGGGCCACTCTCACCTTCTGAGATGGCCCACACTCTGTGGAGTGTGTTTCTCTCTAAATAAATCCACTTCTTACCTAAAAAAAAAAAAAATTTTTAATAAAAAATAAATAAATACACGTGATAAAACTTCCCTTTTTAGAAAAGGTAGAGGACCAGTGAACACAACTTAGAATAATGGAAACCTCTCGGGGGGAAACACAGATCCTTGAGATCAGGGCACGTAGGTGGTTATGTCTATGGAATAGTTACTGTTCTCCTGGTTCTTTTTGTTTTTTGGTTTTTTTGTAATTTATTTTTTTAACTTTTTTTTAATCTTTATTAAATTTGTTACAATGTTGCTTCTGTTTTATGTTTTGGTTTTTTGGCCCCCTGTCTCCCCACTAGGATCGAACCCATACCCCCTGCATTGGAAGGTGAAGTTTTAACCATTGGACCGCCAGGGAAGTCCCTGTTCTCCTTTTAAAGTTCTGTACTCGTGTACATGTTTACTACATAACATAGTAAAGATTTTATTTTTAATTATTTTAAAATGCTAGGTTGAACCATATGAAACTGCCAGGGTTCAACCGTTTCTGCCTGCCAGAAACAGCGTTCCATTTGGCTCAGCCTGATAACGTATGTTATTTCCAGGTTTACCCTTGACCGCCGAATGGGGTGAGATGAAGCCCATCTCACCTGTTCCCATGGCTGTCCTCCAGCAGACACACGAGAGCAGTGACCTCTGAGAATGGTAGTCAGTCTCATATTTCTTTGTGCTGGGTAAAGAGCTTGGATTCCAAGATTTGTTCACGTTTGAGCACGTTAGCTTTAAATTATCCCTGTTGCTAAACCAGTTACGGGCATTCTTTAACAGAGCTGAATGAAAGCTGCACCAGCTGCCTTGAGGAGTCCTTGGTGTCCCGCTGCTAGATGCCGAGTTCCCTGTCCTTGTCGCGACTTGATAACTTAGGAAATTCTGGGGTTGAGGGGAGGATTGAGCCTGATGCTTTCAGGGAGCTCTCAGCTCCAATCACAAGGCACCTGCCATCTTTTGAGACTTCCATGACTGGGTGCTGGTCCGGGGCCTTGACCTGCAGCGTCTGCTTTAGTTCAGAGCGCCCTGTCGGGGACTTGACGTCCTGGTTCCCATTTTACAGAACCCGGAAAACGAGGCACAGAGGTATAAAAGTACACCCTTGGCCACGTAGCGTTGAAATGAGTGTTAAACCCAGAATTTGAGCTGGGGTTTCTCTAACTTGGGGACACTCACTCAACTCCTGTGCTGTATGGCTTCGGATTCTCAGAAAAATCTCTCTTTGGGTTTCGGTAGGGAAGTGGTTGGTTTGGAAAAGATAAGAGGTGCTCCCGTGGGTAGCCGTGAAAGCGCAGCCAGGACGAATGTGGCCGCAGGCTGTACTAGCAGAAGACGGACGAAGCCCCCCGCCACACCTGTCCCTGGTCGACTTTGCCCTGAGAGCCTGCTCTGGGCCAGGCTGGGTGCTGAGCTGCCCCGAGGGCAGGAGTGGGAAACTCTCGCCTCGAGCGCCTGGCGCCCCTTCTGCTGGGAAGCTGCTCTGAGCACCACACCGCCTGCCCTGTGTCTGAGAGGAGGGCTGAGCCGATGGGGGAGCTGGACGCGGGCCACGGCATAAACTGCTGGCGACCCGGCACTTTGAGCCTAGGGAGGAGCCCCCCGCAGTGTGGGGTAGAGTGACGGGAGGGCAGGACCATAGGTGCGTGAGAAGGACTTTGTCACAGCGAAATGGACCTTGTGGCTGGCCTGCCCCTCCCTGAAAAGTGCTGTCTGCAGGGCACAGTGCCCATTCTGAAGGAATTTTGTGCCCTGGATGAGACTTAGATGCCCTACAAAGATGCTTCTAGCTCTAGGGTTGTGTGATCTCATGCTTCAAGATTACCTGGATGAATGTCATTTTCTAAACTCCCCTTTTTAATTCCAGAGCCGGCGATTAGACACTGAAGAATTAAGTTTGCCAGATATTTCTGCAGAAATAGCTGAGAAAATGGCCAGATTTCATGGTATGAAAATGCCATTCAATAAGGAACCAAAATGGCTTTTTGGAACAATGGAAAAGTAAGTGATCAGCCGCTGGGCTCTCACCTAGTTTCCCACCGGTGGCTCCCAGAGGTTCTGGAGCAGCTCTTGCTTGCCGTGCGGGTCAGAGGCCTTCCCTGGTCCGCCAGCGCACAGGCTGTCCGCTGGTGATGATTGTCTCATGAATAAATTGTTCTTGAGTGTAAAAATCAATTCCTGAACCAGGAAAGAAGACTGTTTGCAGAAATGCTCCTGAACAGGCTGGATGGGCAGAAAATCCACACCCTAGAGTGTGCTGAACCTCAGGCCCTTTTACCTTCTCTCCGTCTGGGGTCAGGGGCCCTGCGGGTTTTGCATGGTTGCATTGAACTAGAGCCCCAAAAGCAAGCTAGGTGAATTGAGCACTGATCCTTTGTTCCCCTCTTTTGCAAGATACCTGAATCAAGTGCTGAGAATTAAATTTACTGGGGAATCCAAAGTTAAGCAGCTCCACAAATTCGTCAGTTACAACCTGCCTTTGGAACTAGAAAACCTGAGGTGAGTGTTTGCTTCCATTTCCTAACTTAGTAAAAAGTACAGCTGTCCAGAAATGCAAATGTTCTTAGTCACCACACCTGCTTTCAGTGAACGTTAGGAAGCATCACCTGAGGCTTGGTGTTTTGTGGGATGAGTTTAAACAGATTAATTCTGTCATCTGGAATTACAGTTTTATATGAGTGGCTTCATGGAGGAAGTAAAATTCCAGAATTCTAGTCCTGGTCAGTGACTAGGGCGGTAGGTTTTTTCTGAAACAAAAACAAAAAACAAGGGGCTTCCCTGGTGGCGCAGTGGTTGGGAGTCCGCCTGCCGATGCAGGGGACGCAGGTTCGTGCCACGGTCCGGGAGGATCCCACATGCCACGGAGTGACTGGGCCCATGAGCCATGGCCGCTGAGCCTGCGCGTCCAGAGCCTGTGCTCCGGGGGCAGGCCAGCGAGTGTCAGCCGATAAGGGGAACAGATCAGCCCAGGCTAGCGGGGGATGGAGTAAGAAGCTTGACACTGGTTTCTGAGTAGAGGCTATGCTGGTGTCTCCAGGGTGCGGGGGGCACACAGGCTTCTGGCTTCATCCATTGCCTGAGCATCAGCATTTCCACCTTTAACTACTCACATATCTGAGTGTCTGCTGAGCCAGCATCAGGATTGGTTCTGAGGAGACGTGACCAAGGCAGTCTGCAAGGAGCGTCTCTTTTGTTAGGAGAGGGAGAAAATAAGTAAATAAAAAAATGTCAGGTTGTGATGAGAGCTGTGAAGGAAACCAGAGGTCAAAACAGGCTGACACAGAGGGCTCTGCCTGGGGTCCAAGGTCAGACGGCTCCGAGGAGGGCCCCCCGGAGTGGGGAGAGCGTGTGCAGAGGTCCTGCCACGGGAGGGAGCTGGAAGGGTGAGAAGTAACAGCAAAACCTTCCTTTTCCAGATCATTACTTGAATCCACTCCATCTCCAGTCGTGTTTTGTCACAATGACTGTCAGGAAGGTAAGAATTGCTGCCTGTTATGCTGAAGGTGGGGCTCGTGTGTCTACTGAGAAGATTCCCTCCAGTGTGTGTGATAAATGCCAGGTGCCCTTGAAGAGAGGGTTAGGTACATGGAATTGTGGCACAGCCATGCACGAAGTGTTGTGTGACTATTAAGAGTGAGGTCGAGTTTTATACAAACCAACAGAAAAATCTCCGGGCTACATCAAGAGGAGAAAAAGCAAGTTTTAGAAAAACGTGTAGGGTATCATCCCATTTCTGTAAGAAAAAGTGTGAGAATATCCACTAAACCGAGAGCTGGGATACACGAAGTCACATATATGTTCAGTGTTTAACTCCTTTCAGTAAACATGTCAGTTGGCTTTGTCAGTCTGCAAGGCACTAAAGAGGAAGATGGCCTCCTCGACCAGTCTGGGGGTGCTTGCCTTCCGCACCTGCAGCCCACCACGCTGGCCAGAGCCCCCTTCTCTCTCGGCATTGGCTCACATGCTTCTAATGACTTCGGGTTTCTCTGCTTTAAAAAGTTGCACTCCCATGTACCCCTTACTGTAACCAGACTCTACCCAGTGTTATTTCAAACATGACAGTTTCATCAGAGGCCCCATCCGGCTGGGCACCTCCCCCCGATACTGCCATGGTGCCTGGCTTTGCCTTGCTGTCCTCATCCTGCCCAGTGCAGCTGGCTGAGGTCCACCCTTGGGCCCTTTCCGGGCTCTACGGCTTGTTTTTAATTTGGAGAACGGTCCCTGGTGAAGACTTGTCATCAGTGAGACGTTCGTTTGAGCCAGAATACCTGTTACTAATTAGCTGATGATTTGCTGGGCAAGTCAGGTCAAGCAGGGTGTGGCCAAGCCAGGCGCAGCCTCGTGTGTGTAGCGGGTGATGGTGGACGGCCCAGAGGGAGGCCCCCGCCGGCGGCGACGACATGGGGAGAGTGTGGAGGGGGCAGAAGCTGGACACTGGGTCTGGCCCCGGTTCTCCTATTCATGGCTCCCGGAAACGGACGATGTGTGCCGAAAAGCCTTGAACCTGGCTCAGCAGAGCCCACCCGCCAGCGCCACCGTGAGAGATGCAGCACATTGGGTAGAGTGGGGGGCGCTCTGAGCATGTGCCTGGGGGGCCAGTCTGGCAGCCAAGCCCCTTCTGCCCGGAATTCAGCCTTAAGGGAAGGAAGTGTGGTCGTGGGGTGCTGTCTGTGCTCTCCTCCTTGGGGGCCAAGCAGTGGGGCCTGTGTGGGCACCAGGGCCCAGCTTCCCAGCTGGGGGCCACAGCCCCGCCCACCTCGGGACTGCTGGGGGTGCCGAGCAGACCTTTCCCTTCCTGCCCCCGTATGGAAATGGGGGGGAGCCCAGGCCACGCTGCTCTTGGGGTGCTGGCAGCAGGGCTCTCGGGCCAGGCCTCCCAGGTCAGTGCTGCTCCTGGCACCCTGTCCCCCAGTCCCGTGACTCAGGGCCACGTCTGCTCGCTGCGTGGTCAGGATGCCCTGACAGGATTAGAACCACCCTGGGCCCTGTGGTTGGAGACCTGCGCCTTCGATGACAGAACGTGCCCAGAGCAAAGGTCGTGTCATCCAAACCTTTTTGCAGGTAATATCTTATTGCTGGAAGGCAGGGAGAATTCTGAAAACCAGAAACTGATGCTCATCGACTTTGAATACAGCAGTTACAACTACAGGTAAAGTCAAATGTTTTTATTTCAGTATCCTGTTAGTATTTTAATATGTGTGCGGAACGAAGGAGAAAGTAGGTCACGATACCATCCTGAGTTGGAAGTTTCCTCCCTAGAGGCCAGCACTTTGTGTCCCAGTGGCCGCAATGGCCGCGTGGGGCAGCGCAGCCTATTCTCATCTGCGTCAGTGGGAGCAGGGGCCAGGTCCTCAGAATCCAGAACTTGGCCTTTCATTGGCTTCACCAAAGCACTGACCGCAGGACGGCACTCCTGAGCGGTTGCTCCAGACAGCGGGCCAGGGTGCTTTGGTCTGTCCCGTCACTGAAGCATTCATGCTTTCGGGGCCCTGGGGTCCCGGGGGGGCTCACAGCGGGGCTGCTGCCTCATTTTCTGTGCCTCTCTCTCTTTTTCAGGGGATTCGACATTGGGAATCATTTCTGTGAATGGATGTATGATTATAATTACGAAAAGTACCCCTTTTTCAGAGCAAACCTCCTGAAGTACCCCACCAGGAAGCAGCAGGTAGGAGACTCGTGTCTGTACTCAGTGCACTGACTGAGAAGCAAACCACACACCTCAGTGTTACCCAGTCAGAGATGATCACAGCTTCACTTTTAAAGATGCCCCTTTAAAACCATGGAGTTGCTTAAGCAGGTCCTCTTGCTTTAAAATGTTATTTTGTGTCAAGATACAGACTCAGTATTTGAGTCCAGCCTTTTTAAATCCCTGTGCCAGAGGTGACCTGCATCCAGTCAGAGAGGAGCACAGCCTCCTTCGTGATTCCTTCTAGTGTTTTCCCAAAGCCCAGCCTCCGTCCTGCTCTCTGGCCTTCCGTGGGGGGTCACTGACTTTCCTCTGTTGGTTTCACGCTGTGCCGGCAGAAGTAGTCTTGGGGGCACCGTGGGTCAGTAGCTGTCGCAGTGCTCGCAGAGCCCTTTCCTGTCCTGGGTTATGCGAGTCCAGTGACTGGAGAATCAGTCCTGTGGGACTCTCTCCCCAGGAAGCCCTCCGTTCCATTCTTCAGCCTGTGCCGAAGCCTTGGGTTGAGGATGAGTACGTAGTGATGCAGAAGCTAGCAGGCTAGAGAGAAGGGCACTGCGTCCACCTCTGCCAGCCTTGCAGGGCAGCAGCTCCGCCCGCGCTGGGCGGCCCTGCCGCCCGACATCCCTTCTCCCGGGATCCCCGCCTGGTCAGAACGTTTCCCAGGGGCCGGGGGTGAGGACGGATGCAGTCAGTTGCTGCAGGTAGCTCACTCAGGAGAGGTTTCTCGAGCACCTGCCTGAGCTGGGCATGGGGAGAGTCTCCAGCAGGTGGCCACGCTCAGGGGCAGCCATTCAAATACAGACTTGCCATGTGGCCAGACCTGGGCTGCTCTCTTCTGGCCTCATTTTCAGGCTGACCTGATGACCTTGAGCCTGTCCAGCGCAGTGGCCGGGACGGTTTTGCACCTCGGGTTCAAGCTATGTGGGTAGAAAGGGCGGGAGAACGTGGGGCTGTTGAGCCCGGGGAGGGGAGCACGCAGCAGGCTTCGGGTTCCTGCCGCGCTGGAAAGGGTTAGGCTTTTACGGACGCTGGGCAGGCAGCTCCAGGGACGAGAGCTCTCAGACCGGCAAGGGGAGATTTTCAGTAAGAAGACAGATTTCATTTTAGTGGAAGGCGGCACAGCCGTGCAACCCCCAGCACTGCACAGCAATGGAAATGTAAAGAAGCTCCATTCCTGTTTTCTGAGAGGTTTTAAAATCACATACAAGTGTTGGTCTGTATCAGGTACCCTGTCTGTATCTACTGAGGTAATCTCCTGCTTTTCTGTCTTTAATCCATTGAAGTGTTTTAAAATGTTAAACGATACTGAGATTCCTGAAATAAACTATTTGAATGAGTTAACGTTCTTTTGTAATGCTCTTTTGGATCCAGTTAGGCAATTTCTTATTTTAGGAGATTTATATCTATGCATATATGTGAAACAGGACTTTAATGTTCATTTAAAAAATTATTCATACCTGCTTTTGGAATAAAAATTATACTAGTCTTACAAAATGAGTTGAGTGTCCCTTTTTATTTTCTGGAACAAATTTATCTAAGATGGTGTTGTTTGAAAGTTTGGTAGATTTTGCCCATAAAGCCATCTGGGCCTAGAACTTTTGGGGGAGGGAGGGTCATTAATTACCACTTTCTTAGGGTTTCAGTCTCTTCAAATTTTCTATCTTCATTTGCCACCTTCAGCGTTTAGGGTCTCCAAGAAGTTAAACCATCTAGGGTGGTGGTTCAAGCATGGGTTCTAAAAACTAATGGGCCTGGATTTGAATCCCAGATCTGCCACTGCTGGTTGTAACGTACTATTTCTGTGCCTCAGTTTTCTCATCTGCAAAAATTATTTTGTTGTCGTGGGGAGTGTGCCTGTTACACAGAATTTAATAGGTATCAGCAGTCATCTTTTTTGTGCCAGGTTTACTTCAGAATCTACAGCCCCCTGCCTAGGACAGTGCTTGATCTTGAATGATGCTTTCTGGTGGAGGAGGGGGCGTAGTGTAAGAAAGCCGACTTTAGAGCAGGAAGATGGAAGAGGCGACACAGGGAAAGGGTGGGGAGTGCCTTCCAGCCGGGTAACCAGGGTAGCAAGGGTTGTTACGGGGGAGAAAGACTGACGGCTGTTTTCTTCTTTACAAAAGCAAACAAGCCGAGGTTGGCTGTGTTCTGTTGCCTTTTGATATGGTATGAAGCAGTGAAGAACAAGGGCTCTCATAAATCCTAATTTCATATGTAGACTCAACGTGCAACCTGGTAGAACCTTAGGGTAAACTGTGTCTTCTCCAAACCAGAATCAGATGCTGCCAGTTTATGGACGTAAGTGTGGAAATCATCACAGCATCTTAGGGGTGGAAGGCCCCTTCACAGTGCCTGGTCCGGCGCCTGCCCTGAGGCAGCATCTGCTGACGAGTGTCAGGGTGCCCTGGTGCCTCGTGCCAGCGCTGCGTGGGGCAGCAGCCAGGCTGGGGAGGTGTGGAGTAGGCTGACCCTGCTTTGCGGTCAGTGGAAGACAGGAGTGTGAGTTAGAAGGAACAACTCTACCTAAATTACTTTCTGCAGAGGCAGTAGTGGTCTTCCCGACAGTAAGGCATCGAGTCCATTAAGTTCTCTGACTGTAACCCGGTGATCCCGGCCGGGTGGGTGAGCTCCCTGGACCACGCCCCTGGGCAGAGCAGGGTGGCGGGCTTTGCTGACGTCCGGAAGAGTCACGCTTGACGTGTGCGCTTCGTGACAGCATTGACATCACCTGTTTTTAACCATCATTGATCCTAATGTCATTGCTTTTTTTTTAAGCTCCATTTCATTTCCAATTACTTGGCTGCATTCCAAAATGAATTTGAAAACCTCAGTAATGAAGAAAAGTCCGTTATAGAAGAAGAAATGTTGCTTGAAGTCAATAGGTAATTTTTTTCCTTTGTCGGTTTGTAACGATAGCTTCCCTCTGTATAGCGCGTACTTGGGATCCCTCCTTGCAAACAGGAGTATTTTAGGAGCTCCCTCACGACCATACATCTCGAGGTCTTGTACGTTGTCAAAAACAGAACACTTAGTTCTTGTCCACGTGGCCGAGTGTGTTCGGATCCCCCAGATTTCAGCACACGGCCAGTGAGGAGAGCAGGGTCTGTGCACTAGGTCAGGCCGCGCGGGTGGCGTTCCGAACCGTCATCCCCGCCACGGACTCTGCTGCACAGCCGCTGCCGCCAGGGCCTGCACATTCTTCTCACTAGTGCTCCTGGAGAGCTGGGTGCCACCGAGTAACATGGTTCTCCTAGAAAAGAATTCAAAATCTGTTTTCTCAACAGCTGTCAAAGCAGGGCTGAGAAAGCTCCAGATTCCGCAGAGGTCTAGATCACTGTGTTCTCACACTCACTGATCTCTTTGGTCAGGAGGCCTGAGTTATTCCTAATCTTTGGGGTCTTCCATGAGATTATTTGTTAACAGTGACGGTTTGGGTGACTGTGGCCCTCCTTCCTCAGCATAGAGCACCTCCTTGGTGTCCTTGGAACTGTCCACAGTCCTCTCACTGAGCTGAGGCCACCCTGGTGGCCCCTCGGCTCCGCCTGCAGAGGAGAGCTTCCCTCCCTGGTTCTTGATCAGATGGAAATAGGAAGGCGGAAGTGGAGAAGACCCAGACAGAAAGGGTAGCACTAGGGGATCTAGTGGGTCAGGGATGAAGAGAAGCAGAGTCAGGTCTGGTGAGGGCGGCACCGAAGCCCTCGTTCCTGAATTAGAGCTTTATCTTCATCTTTTTGAGAAGAACTTGGATTCGCAGTGAAGAGGAGCGTGGCACAGCCTAGAGGTGGGGACCTGGCCACACCCTCCTGATTCACTTCCGGGGGAGAGGGGCATGGGGGATGGCAGCAGGCTGTCCGGAGGCCTGCGCTTTCCTCCACCTGTTGCTGGTGGGGTAGGGGCCGCCAAGGCTGTGCGCTCACACGCGTGCCAGAGGGTTTCTCTCCCTGTGTGACCCACGCTTCACCAGCAGCGGCCACTGAGGCCTCCGGGTGGGTCCTGCGAGTGTTCTGTGTGCCAGGGACAGGGAGTCGGGGTGTTCACACCTGCAAGGTTACTGGCCAGCGGTGGGGAGAGGACGGCTGTGGGCTCCCGCTGCTCTGTTGCCGTGGAATATCATCTCACTGGGTCGGCCAAGGCAGACAGTTTGCACCCAGATGAGTCAGAACGTCCATCTGGCAGGAAATGATGTCATCGGTCCTCCAACTGGTCCCACACATCTCATGTGCATTTCCTGCTTTTGTAATTACAGGTTTGCCCTTGCGTCCCATTTCTTCTGGGGACTTTGGTCCATCGTACAGGCCAAGATTTCATCCATTGAATTTGGGTACATGGTATGTTTTGGGGGTGGTTTTTCTCTTCTGCTCCCAGGAAAGAAAGGCTTCCATGTACGTGAATGCTCGGCAGTAAATGCCTGTTCCTTCCAGGGGGTTACCTCTTCCCCTCCGAGTACCTGAACCAGGTGACCTGCGGGCTCCCCCCCGGGGAAGCTGAGGGAGAAAGGAAGGCTGCATAATTGAAGCCACTTTTGCTGATGCTGTGTCTGCCTGTGGAAGTTGCCCTCACTCCCAGGGCCAGCAGGTCCCGCCTCCCCTGCTTCAGAGAAGTGCTCTGTGGTCCTGTGGTTCTGATGGGGGATGTAGAGATACAGACCCTTGAGGTCCAGCCCCGACCTCAGTCCCTTCTGACACAAGGGACACTGAGTGAAGGAATGGTGGTGGGGTTACCTACCGTGCCTTGTTATATTCACCTGTTAACACCCCATCCTCTGGCCTACAGCACCCGACTTAAGAGTTGGGAGCTGGTGCTGATTGAGTTAGACCCCCTTTTGTGCAGCAAGTTTGTACCAAACCAGGCTGTCTTTTTATTCTAACCTAAGTGCTGTCCTTGGCATTTTACTTTGCTCCGTAGTGAGTGGTGGGGGGCGTCCTGGGGCAGGGGTGCACACAGGTGTAGCGAGCACCTTGCTTTGGGACAGGTGGTGGGAAAGAACTGGTGCATTTTGTTCTCCTCGGTTCTCAGTGAGGATGGTTTCTGCTTCTAGGCAGAAGATTTGGTAATGCACAGATGCACTTAGGCAAAAGAAGGGGAAATGTGGATTTTTAAAGCAGATTTGGAGTCATGGTTAGATGTTACTGTAAGACAAAGTGGACTTCAGAGAAGGAAAACCACTGAAGGTAGAGAAGGGCGTTGCATCCTAGTGAAGGCATCACTTCATCTGCAGGACATAGACCCTCAGTGTGTGTGCCCCTGAATTCTTCAAAAGACACAGAGCAGGGACTTCCCTGGTGGTCCAGTGGTTAAGACTGCACGCTTCCACTGCAGCGGGCATGGGTTCCATTCCTGGTCAGAGAACTAAGATCCCACATGCCGCACAGCACGGCCAAAACAAAACAGACCGAAACAAAAGACATAGAGCAAAAAGTGACAAAGCTGAAAGGAAAGGGGGAATCTACTATTCACCAAGTAGATTGCACACCTCTAGGTAGCAGGTGGACCCAGGAAACCCTGCCACAGGCAGGGTGGTGGACACCTGAACATCATCACCCCAGCCAGCTCAACCTGACGAACATGGGTGGAGCCCAAACAGCTGCAGGACAGACATCCTTGTCGGAGAATGTGGAGTCTTCGTCAGGATAGGCCACAGGCTGGGCTGTGAAACAGGCCTCGACTTTACTGCAGAGTAAGTTCTCTGACCACAGTGCAGTTTAATTGGAAATCAGTAACCAGCAACCACAAAAATATCTGGAGAATTCTCAGTTATTTGGAAGTTAAAACTGTGTACTTCTAAATAAACCCTGGATCAAATGAGAAATTACAAGGACAGTTAGAAAATATTTGGAATTATAATAAAAACACAACATACCAGAATTTGTGGGATGCAGCTAAAGCAGCATTTGGAAACTTATGGCTTTGCAGCTTAAATGTTGTCTTGGATATGAAGAAAGTTCTCAAGCCAGTGATATAAGCTGCTACCTTGAGAAGCTAGAAGGAGGAAAACCAATTAAGCCCAAAGTAGACAGAAGTAGAATGAAGGTAAGAGCAGAAATCATTGAAATATAAAATGGACAAAAAATAGAGAAAATTAATGATACCACAAAAGTATTTATAAACCTCTGGCTGTACTAAGCAAGAAAGAAAAGGGAAGACAAACATTACCAAAACCGGCTACAGAGAGAGGCTGTCACTGCAGACTCCGTAGATGTCCACATAGGAGACGGTGATGAACAGCTCTGCCCGCAGGTTTGACAACCTGCCTGAAATGTGCCAATTTCTTGGAAGATAACAGATGACCAAAACTGATGTAAGAAATGGCCACATAGTTATTAAGTTGAACTCATAATCAGAAACCTATAGATTTGGGACTTCCCTGGTGGCACAGTGGTTAAGAATCCGCCTGCCAATGCAGGGGACACGGGTTTGAGCCCTGGTCTGGGAAGATCCCACATGCCGCGGAGCAACTAAGCCTGTGCGCTGCAACTACTTAGCCTGTGCTCAACAGCTCTCGAGCCACAGCTACTGAAGCCTGCGCACCTAGAGCCCGTGCTCTGCGACGAGAAGTCACCGTGATGAGAAGCGCACCGCAATGAAGAGTAGCTCCCACTCGCCGCAACTAGAGAAAGCCCACGCACAGCAGCAAAGACCCGATGCAGCCAGAAATAATTAATTAATTAATTAAAAAAAAACATAAGTGCTACTAGCCTCCTTAGCCACGCATTCAAGGCTACTATACACCCTCTTAAAAAAAAAAAAAAAAAAAACCTATAGAGTAAACTTCAGGTCCTGGTAAATATCATCAAATATTTAAGGAAGAAATAACAACAGCCCTACAGACTTGTAGAAAATAAAGGGAGAGGGATCGCTTCTCAACTCATTCGATGAGGCTAGCATGACCCTGACACCAAAACTAGACAAGGACATTTCAAGAAAACTGCAGATCACTGCTTTTCATGAACATTACCCCAAAACCATTATCAAAATACTGGCAAAAAGTAAGTCCAACTTATGTAAAAGGATAATATTTTATGACCAAGTGGCATTTATCCCTGGAATGCAAGGTTAACGTCAACATTTGAAAAACCTATTAGTGTAATTCACTGTATTAACAGAATAAAGGAGAAAAATCATACAATCATCTTAGTGAATGCAGGAAAAGCATTTGATAGAATTCAACACCTGTTCATGATAGAAAGTCTCAGCAAACTAGTAATAGAGGAGAACTTCCTCAGCCAGGTAAAGGGCATATACACAGCTCTTGTACAGCTGCTGTGGTAATCGATGGTAAAGCACTGAATGCTCCTCCCACCTCTGCCCCAAATATAGAGCAAGGCAAGGGTGATCGTGCTCACTTCTCCTCACAGGCTGCTGGGGTGCCTAGCCAGCATAGGAAGGCAAGAAAAAGAAAGAAAATGCAGAAGTACCAGAAAGGAAGAACTGCCTTTATTTTTATAGGTGACGTGATCATGCACATGAAAAAATACAGAGGAATCAATAGAAAAGCTATTTAAACTACTGAGTGAGTTTATCAGGGTCGTAGGATACAAGGTCAATATGCAAAACCCACTTGCATCTCTACGTGCTAGAAGCAACTGTAAATGAAAAAGTGTTGTGTTTACGGTGGCGTAAAAAACTTGAAATACTTAGGGATAAAATTTTTCAAATACGTGCATGATCTGTACACTGACAACTATAAAACATCGCTAAAAGAACCTAAATAGAGATACCGCATCTATGGATTTAGAAGACCTAATCTTTTTTTTTTTTTTTTTTTTGCTGTACACGGGCCTCTCACTGTTGTGGCCTCTCCCGTTGTGGAGCACAGGCTCCGGACGCACAGGCTCAGCGGCCATGGCTCACGGGCCCAGCCGCACCGTGGCATGTGGGATCTTCCCAGACCAGGGCACGAACCCACGTCCCCTGCATCGGCAGGCGGACTCTCAACCACTGCGCCACCAGGGAAGCCCCAGAAGACCTAATCTTAAGACTTCCATTCTCCCCAAACTATCTGTCGTCTCCGTGACCCCAGCAAAATCCCCACAGGCTTTTGGTAGAAATTGACAAGCTGATTCTAAAACGTATGTGAAAATAAATAAATAAACTATTTATAACTAAACACTAAAACACTAACTAGAACCACGTTGGAAGACTTAGGCTACCTGATTTCAAGACTTATTAAGCACAATAATTAAGACCATGTGGTGTTGGTAGTAAGATAGACATAAATCAGATGGAACAGACTAGAGTTCCCAGAAATGGACTCCTACACATACAGGTAACTGGTATTCCACAGAAAGGCCAAGGTTTAGATTTTCCAAAAATGATGCGGGAACAACTGAATAAGCCATATGGAAAAAAATAATGAACTTTGAACTTACGCTCTACACAAAAATTGACTTGAAACAGATAATAGACCTAAATGTAAAAGCTAAAACGGGAGAGAAGCTTCGTAACTGTGGCAAAGATTTCTTAGCTCACATAAAGCACTAACCCTCAAAGAAAAAAAAAAAATACAGTAAGTTGGACTTAATCAAAATTTAAAACTTTTGTTCTTTGAAAGACACCATTAAGAAAATGAAAAGCCCAGCCACGGACTGGGAGAAAACAAGGCAAATTTATATCTGACAAAGGACTTGTATTTAGAATATATGAAGGACTCATAACTCAGCAAGAAACCAAACAACCTACTTTATAAGTGGACAAAAGATTTGAACAGTACACGGGAGATAAACAAATGGCCAGTAAGCATGTTTTCATCTGCTTGATACAAAGTCATAAAGGAAATGCAAGTTAAAGCCCCAGTGAGATGCCTTGCCCACCCATGACAATGGCTAGAACTTAAACTCATAATACCAAATGTTGGCAAGACTGTGGAGCAGCTGACCTCGTATACATTGCTGGTGGGAACGTAGAAGGGTGAAACCAGTGTGGAAAACAGTTGGACAGCCTCTTATAAAGTCAAACATACACTTACCGGGACCTCTCTGGTGGCACAGTGGTTAAGAATCCGCCTGCCAACGCAGGGGATACAGGTTCGATCCCTGGTCTGGGAACATCCCACGTGCCGCGGAGCAACTAAGCCCATGCGCCACAACTACTGAGCCCACGTGCCACAGCTACTGAAGCCCGCACACCTAGAGCCCGTGCTCCACAACAAGAGAAGCCACCGCAATGAGAAGCCCGTGTACCGCAATGAAGAGTAGCCCCTGCTCGCTGCAACTAGAGAAAGCCCGTGCACAGCAGCGAAGACCCAAAGCAGCCTCCAAAATAAATAAGTAAATTTAAATCGACTATACTTCAATAAAATTAAAAGTTAAAAAGAAAACAAAACAAGAAAAACGTACACTTAACATACAACCCAGCAGTCCCTCTCTTTGGTATTGATCCAAGAGAAATGAAAGCCTGTTTCCACGCCAAGACTTGTATTCAAGTGCTCACAGCAGCTTTATTTTCAGTAGCCCCAAACTGGAAACAACCTACATGCCCATCAGCAGATGACTGGGTGAACACACTGTGTTGGAGCCGTATCACGGAAAACTACTCAGCCACGAACACTGCCGCCCACGGCAGCATGGATGTGTCTTATTAGACACAAGCCAGACACCAGAGGGGACGTAGCGGACAGTTACACTCACATGGAAGCTTTCTGTCGCAGTCTGGTGGGCTTGACTGCAGAGACCCAGGAGGACTTTGAGGGTGATTGTGGTGTTGGCATTGAGCTAGGTGTGTGCGTTAGCGAACACCGCACGTTTTACATGAGTTAAGTTTTGTGGTATATAAATTATACCTCAACGTTAATTTTTTTGAAGTGGTGTTGTAATCTTGGCAGTTAGCACTGCAGACTTTTCGATTTGGAGTGGTCCTTAAGAGACTGTGTTCTGCACACCGGTGGGCAGACAGGGGAAGGGACCCAGGGGCCCGGTGGCTGGCCAGGTTTTCTCACTTCCCTCCTGGTGTCCTTTTAGTAATCGTGCTGCAGCAAACAGGTGGCACCTACCGTCTGCCTACACCTGCTAACGCCCCAGGGACCTTGGGCTTTGACAGAGAAGCCTCTGTTGTGTCCGTCAGTCCGCGTCTGTAGCGTTCAAGGTGAATGAGTCGGTGAACCATGCTGCACCAGATACATAGACAGAAGTCCCGTCTCCCGTCTGGGATGGCAGGGCCGGGCCGGCGCAGCTGATCGAGTGGGGGACATTGAGGGTAAAGGGAAGGTGGTGGCCGGGGCTGCTGCCAGCGGGAGAGGACCATCCTGAGAGCAGCGTGGCTCCTGGATGGCCTGCAGCACGTGGAGCTGCTCTGCTCTGTGCCGGGGGGCGGGCGGGACCCTTGGTGAGGCCCCTCTTCCTTCTGTCTCCTAGGAGTATGCCCAGGCCAGGTTCGATGCCTATTTCGACCAGAAGAGGAAGCTTGGGGTGTGACTGGGGAGGCCAGCCTGCGCTGCATCCCTGGACTGCGCGGGGGCGGCCGAGCCCGAGGGTCCCTCTGTGCTCCGACTACTGTACCTGCAGCAAGAAGGCTCGGACGTCTCGCTGCCGAACACAGATGTGTATGATACGAAAGACTGTATTAAAATTGAGGAACATTTATTTCATATCTTGTTTACGATTTCTCTAGGACTCTGGCATGAGATCAGGAAGCAGAATTATAGTACACTAGTGCAATAGTGCAACACCTCAGACCCCCTAATCTAGAGAAGGCATCTTCTACTTCAGCCAGCTGGGGCAAACAGCAAGAGTAAACAGTGTCACTGTACGTGCCTTTTTGGTTAATGTTGATCTTTAAAGGATGTTCATGACCGCGCTGGTGAACAGCGCCGACCGGGCTTTCTGTAGGTAACGGGTGTGTAGGGCGGCGAGTGGGCAGCGACACTGCCGATGCTCCGTGGCCTGACCGGGGTTCTGGGAGACGCAGACCGCCCCCGAGGTGCGGGGTGCACAGAGGCGGGGATGACCGTGGCTGCCCGCTGACTGCTACCTGTCATCCGTGTTTTCCTCTGCCGGTGAATCTCAGATGAATCTCACCCTAACTGGATGCAGCCCCACCATGCCCTCTAACTGAAAGTGCTTTATTAACCCTGGCTCTGGGGCAGGCAGTGGGCCGTGGCCACAGAGGGCCAGCAGGCTGCACGGGGACACGTGGCCACACATGCCCACCCCGGCACCCCCACTGCCCAATCCGCTTTCCTGGTAGGGAGCGGGCTGCTTTGTCCCACACTCTGCAGCCTTTTCCCCTCCACCTCTGCTCAGCCTGGTGCTGGGCTCTTGTGACAGGGCCGGTTGCCCGCCCCCAGGCATGGTCGTGCCCCAGGGAAGCCTCCTGCTGCCCCGGTGCTGGGGCCTCCGTGTGCTGGGTGCGGGAGGGAAACCTTGCCCTCACTGCTCCCCGTTGTACCTCATGTGGTCGTTCTGGTGGGAAACGGCAGCCTGTATGTGGAGTATGGGGGCGGGGATAGAGTATAGCTGTGAAATCCGTATGTATTAAAAGTCCTTTGGGATAAATTCTTTTTTTTTTTTTCACTCTGAACTCTTATTTGAATTGTTTTTTTGTGCATACATTCCTGCTACCACAAAGACTGTACTATACAAACAATAAAAAAGATAAAAGCCCATCCTCTGCTGTCACCCTCGGATGCATCCCTAGTCTCGGGGAGGTCTCCGGTGCGCGTCCACCCGGCTCCTCCGGAGGCGAAGCCCTTGGGCGGGAGGGAGAGGGGAGCACCGGGCTGTCCAGGAGGGAACTGAGCGGCTGGGCCAGGGCAGGAGGGGGACTTCCGCTGCCCGGCCTGGTAGGCACCGAAAGTTTTAACCAGGTGAGTGTGTTATGATATCCAAGCAATAAAACTGAGTCCTAGGGACTTCCCTGGTGGCACAGTGGCTAAGAATCCACCTGCCAGTGCAGGGGACACAGGTTCGAGCCCTGGTCCGGGAAGATCCCACAGCTAAGCCCGTGCCACAACTACAGCGTGCGCTCTAGAGCCCGCGAGCCACAACTACTGAGCCTGCGTGCCACAACTACTGAAGCCTGTGTGCCTAGAGCCCGTGCTCCACAACAAGGGAAGCCCCCGCAGTGAGAAGCCCGCACACCGCAAAGAAGAGTAGCCCCCGCTCGCCACAACTAGAGAATGCCCGCGTGCAGCAACGAAGACCCAGTGCAGCCAAAAACAGTTTTTTAAAAAAACCCCAACAGCCCTAGATGCTGCTGCCCTGTGTGTGAGATCTTAGAACACAGCTCCCAGCTCCTGCCTGTGCCCACGGGGTCCGACCGGCCTTGCCCGCCCCCTGCCCCCAGCCTCTCTCGTCCCTAAGACACCAGGCCCTCTCGTGCTTTCCTCTGCCAGGCGGCTTTGGGGTCAGGCTCCCTCACATCCACTCGCTGGCTATCACTTTCATTCTCTGTATGTGGAATTCCTGGGATGCCCACCTGTTCCCTCAGCCATCCTCCTGGATGAGACCGTACACTTGCCCCAGCAGGCCTGTCCCCAGTGCAGGTGACCCCCCTGTCCCTGTGTCTCCTGATGTGACCCCCCACGCCCCAGGGGCGCCCCCTCCAGTGCCTTTGCGCATGCTGGTTCCCCAGCAGCCGGCCTTCTCCAGCCAGGCTGCCAGCTGTCCACGCGTCAAAGCCAGGGCAGGGCCAGCTAGCGTCTCCCTGGGGCCACACCTGCCACCCACCCCCGAAACATGCCACGTTCTCAGCGCTGAGCCCCTGCTTAAGGTTCCCCTCACCTGGCCCACCCTGCGAGTCTCTGCACAGCTCTGCTCCCCAGGAAGGTAGAGCTTGGAGTCCTGGGCTTGGGCCAGATCCTGAAACGCACACCGCTCCCTCTATTCCTAACCAGACACTGCTCTCAACGTTTCTTGGAGCCAAGTCTCTGCCAGGCGTGTCATACTGCAGCCAGACAGCCCCTCATACCCCAGCCCAGCATCTGGGGGCCCTGAGCAGGGCAGCCCTGGGCTCTGGAGGGACAGGCTCCTCCCGGCAACTGGCCAGACGAGAGCCACGGTGATGGGGCCAGGTTGCGGGGCCAGGCCTCCCAGCTCGCCGTGCACAGGGCGTCTCTGCCTTCAAGGCAGCCTTTGTTCCCAGGGCCTCCAGCCGGAAGAACCACTTGGCAGCTCCTCAGCAGGAGAAAATGAGGCCTCTGGGAAGCACTGGCTCTGCCACCCAGCTGGGGGTGGGACCCAGACCAGAGAGGCCCGAGGATGCCACCTCCCTCCCCCCAGCGGAAGGATGGCCTGGCAGCAGGACTGCCCACCAGGGAGGGCTAGGGGGAAGACTGTGGCCTCTGGGGAGGCAGGGCCTGGAGTCCGGCTCTCCCCTTTTCTGACCTTCGGAGACCTGGACAATTCTCAGGGTGTCCTGGACGAGCCTCTGCCCTTGTCTGCGGGAAGGTGGCCTTGGGTGTGACACCACTGTCCCATGTGGAGTGCCGGGTCCGGCTCAGGTGTCCCAGGCTGCTCTCTGCTGCAGAGTATCTTGAGCGCCAGGGGCCAGCGCCAGCACAGGCATGTGAGAATATTGGCCGATTGGTGCCAGGCACCACCCTCCATACCCAGGGTAGCCCAGACATCATTGTACAGCCAGTTTGCATATCCCCAAGGATGGGGAGCTCACTCCCCCGGCCCAGCCTGGAAGGACAATCTTTCTGAGCTAGAATGTACTGGAAACAGCCCTCCCTGGGCCTAGTTCTGCCCCCCTTCACCCCAAGAGTCTGGGATCGTTGCAGATGTGCTTGTGGGTCCTATCCTGACATCCTGAGGCCCCAGATCATAGACCAGTGGCTCCCACCTCCCCCCACCCCACACCAACTTCAACTGCAGAAACAGACATAAGGGAGACGGGCACAGAGGCTGGCGTGGTGTCCATCCAACCAAAAGGCCCCCAGGGGCAGGACCAGCCCACATCAGAGCCCAGGCTCCTCCACACCCAGCCGCCCCAGCCCCTGCCTCCCAGACAAGACCAAGACACGGGCCCTGGGCCTTCCCCTTTATTTCTTCCCTGCTCAGCAAGGCAAGGGCGGGGCTGTGGGCACTAGTCACCCTCCACGGCGAAGGTGAAGGGGCTCAGCTTGTAGCCAGTACCCGAGTAAAACTTGTTCTGGAACTCCACCCTGGGGCGAGAAGGGAGAGCGGGTGAGGGGACGCCCCCCCATCTCCCCGACCGTGCTGCCCACACCAGCCAGGTGGCCACTCACCAGTGCAGCCGCAGCGCGTGCAGAAAGGCCGAGAGCCCCTCCATCACCAGTAGGATGGCCACGGTCATCACGGCGAAGGCGGCGAAGACGGGGACCAGCACCACAGCCGCCACACCCATCTTGCCGCCCAGGCTCAGGCCGGCTCGCATCACCATGGCCCACAGGACCTGTGACAGCTCTGCAGGTGGAGGAGGGAACCGTGGGGACCACCAAGCCACCTCGGCATCCCGAAGCCCGCCCTCACCGTGGGCCAGCGGGGGACCTCCTCCGACGTCCCCCCTTTACAGACGGATACTAAGAAGCGACCAGGGCTTCCCTGGTGGCGCAGCGGTTGAGGGTCCGCCTGCCGATGCAGGGGACACGGGTTCGTGTCCCGGTCCGGGAAGATCCCACATGCCGCGGTGCGGCTGGGCCCGTGAGCCATGGCTGCTGGGCCTGCGCGTCCGGAGCCTGTGCTCCGTGACGGGAGAGGCCACAACAGTGAGAGGCACGCATACTGCAAAAAAAAAAAGGCGACCAGAGGGGGCCACGCATCCAGCAGCCAGGTGTGGGAAGGAGCCGGGACTCACGGGCGTGGGCCAGGCTCAGGGCCCAGAGGCGCAAGTAGGAGGCCGTGTTGGAGATGCAGCCCAGGCAGAACTCGATGGTGTGGATGGCTTGGTGCACGAACACCTCGGACAGGACAAACTGGGGGGACAGGTGGCAGTGAGGGGCAAGTGGGGCCGGCAGCCATCCCCTGCTCAGGAAGGCACCATACCCACCTCGGCCTCTGCCTGGTCCCCTGGGCATCCTGCCTTCTCCTCATCAGAGCCCTGGCTGGCCAGGGACGTGTCAGGCAGGTCCAGAAGCCTGGCCGTGTCCTCATCCTAGAGGTGGTGCAGCAGCATCACAGACCCCCAGCCCCAAATGGGGCTCACGTCCCGGACAGGACCCCACCCCCAGGCTCCCCTGTCTCTACCGGCTGTTGCCTCCTCCGAGAGTGGCAGCGGCGGTGCTCCCGGTGCAGGAACAAGGGCGTGCCAAGCAGCAGGACGGGCACCATGGCCAGGGCCAGGACCACCAGCGTGGGCTGCACCACCTCCTGCGGGGGAGGAGGGGGCGATGGTCAGGGCGCCCCTGCGAGTCACCGGCCAGCTCGGGCCACGCGATTCCCCAGGGGACCGGGGAGCCCGCAGCCCACTCCAGGCCAGGGCCCCTCGCCAGGCAGGGACTTCGCCCCGTGTGGAATTCCTCTGGGCATAGAAGCCACCACCTCTGCTGGGAGCTCCCAGGGAGGCCCCTCGACCTCCCTGTCTCACGGCCTCAGGCCTGCATCCCGCTTCTCAGGACGAGGATCCTGCAGCTGAGAGGCCCAGCCACCAGGGGGCCCCAGGGCGGGGTGTGAGCCGCCCC